TGTGTCGTCCGGTCAGAGAGCAGAACCAGGACGTGGTCCGACGGGTTTGTTTGGATGTTCCACCTTCTGACCGACAGAACCCAGTCGGTCCGGTCCGGTCCGGTTCCTGCAGCAGCAGGTTGTCGGTCTGATTATGGGCTGCACAGCTGACTGTTGAACCAAACAGCCGCTGACTGCTGCTGGAACACTAAACACAGCTTCAGAACTTTTTGGGCTGATTGGGTTTTTTATTGGTCTTCTCATCACTGGCACCAGGAGGTTTGGGTTTTATTTGGTTCTTTATTGAAGGTGCTCCGGTGACGGTTTGGACACGCGTCCAGGTTCTGGTGGATTAATTCTGTGATTTTCTTTTGAAAGTGAGGTGACAGATTCAGGATTCTCTCTTTTAACTTTGGTTTCCTGAAACGTTCGAGGCTCGTCTTGTTTACGTCGAACGAACCGCCGCCGGTTTGACCTTACGGATGTGTCGCCATGACGACCGGTCCGGATGAACAGGATCACAGCGAAATCACAAACAGTTTAATCCGGCTAATCCCGAGGACAGACCCCCGGTGAGCTCAGGGCTCAGCGGAGACAAACACTCACTGAACAGAACCAGAACCACCACATCCCAGAGCGTGAACGTCACATAATGTAGACGGTGAAGGAAAATCTGTAAAGAAAAGATGACTTTTAAAAACTAATAACTACAAAATAATAATAGAATTTACTGATTTAAATGCAGGAAAAAAGGTTTCGTGTGAAAAATAAAAGCAGCCAAAGGTTGAATGTGGACTTTACTTAAAGTTTTGGCTTTTTTTATTATTAACATCTGAATTATATTTGATTTGACTAATTATTAGCTGTAATTTACTGATTAAAAAATGGAAAAAAATCTGTAAAGTAACTGATTAATGATGTTAAATCCTTAATGCACATCATCTCTCTGTGAAGTAATCATATATTCTGCTGATTTAAATACAGTAAATTGTCGTTAAAGCCTCGTTAAGATCACAGATGATCATGTTGACAGTATTTAAGGCTAATGGGTCGTTATCGGTCAGTTTACAAGAAAACCTGTGAAACAAAAGGACGCTTCAGTTCAATAGTTCTACAGATGGTACCAGGGAGAGGAGGATGTGTTTACTGTATGAGTCCGGTGGTTCTGTTTCATCTCATCCAGTCGTCGGCTCGGTTTGGTTCTGAGCGTGTTGAAGTCAGAGGTCAGAGGTCTGATCGCAGGATGTTTTGTCTGAGCAGCAGATCCTCTCTAAGAGAATTAACGGATCGGATCCAGATCAGACGGCGCCGGCTCTGCTGACTCCTCAGGTGTCCACGGCGGCCACCAGGGGGAGCCAGACGCTGGTTCATCAGAACCATCCTGAATGGTTTTGATTCCTAAAAATCCACTTTGTTCACCTGGAGTCTGTTTTCTGCCTGTTTGGTTAAACTACAGCAGAGAAAGAATAAAATCATGTAATTAAATAAAACGTACGGATTCACATGTTAAACATTAAAAAGCCAAAATAATGTCCACATTTTTATTTGTATTTTTATTCATAGAGATTTTTTGGTTTAAAAAGAAAAAGCTAAACTGCAAAATTACATTTTTTTAAACTTTTGTTTTACAGATTTTGTGAAAATGTCCTGATAAATCTAAATGTCTATATTTTTATAAACAGTAAATTATTCGGCAGTAAAATGAGCCTTTTGTTTTTAAACTGTATTTAAATCAGCAAAATATATATTATTATTATTTCACAGATATTTTTGCTCTTATTTCAAAGTAAAATATTTACATTGAGGATTAAAAATGTTTCACATGTTTTGTTTTTCTTAAACTACATGTAATAGTAAAATCACAGAACAATGTCCACATGAAAAATACACGATTTTATTGTATTCAAACGAGCAAAAGCACCACCATCGTACAGATGCTTTAGTTGTTTTCACTGTTTTTCATGGTTTTTAAGCGTCACTGAGCGTGCTGCTAATGACTGCATGGCGGCGGTGTGTTCATGTGTCCTTCAGGAGGGAGTTCGCTGAGCTGATGGAGAAGTACGGCTCCAACAACGTCAGCGCTTCAGGACGGATCTCACCGACGCAGCTCTCCACAGGTAAAGCTCTGGACGTCCTGCCTTCACACGACGCTGAAGTGACTGGAAGAGACGCTGTGACTTCAGAAAAACAAAATCTCTTCTTTTTAAAGACAGTCAAATGATGTCTTCGCTGTGCAGCATCACAAACATGTTCCAACTTTTAGAAAATGTCCGGACTGTCCAGAAAACATCTTTTATTTATTTCTAAACGTCCTACCTTACCTTACCTACCTAAAGGATGTCCTCATAATGTCTTCAGAGAAATGAGCCCACTTTCCCAAAGAAGTCTGAAAGACTCAAAACGTTTCCTCGCTGTGAAAAAAGTCTTTACAAAAACGTCCTCGATTCTAGAAAAGTCGTCACTTTTTAAAAAATGTCCATGAGCATAACTAGACTGCACCCACGAGTGTCTTCGCTTTACACAACTTTACAGAAACGTCCTGAACGTTAAAACGAGTCTTGACTTTACAAAAAGTTTCCAAAATGTCCATGACTCTATAAAAGTTCTCACTTCGTCAAAAAAATGATTCACTCTCTGGAAAGGTGCTTCAAACATTTTCATGGTTTCTAAAGTGTCCCGACTTTACGAGAATGTCCTCACTGCACGGAAATATCTTCACTTTCCAACAATGACCCCGTTTTGCAGAAGTGTCCTCAATTCTATGAAAGTCCTTCATTTAAAAAAAAAAAAAGCACCTCAGATTTTCCATGAATGTCTTTGATTCTAGAAAAGTCGTCACTTATGATAAACGTCCTCACTTTAGAAAATGTTCCCCACGTTTGATCAACGTCTCCGTTTTACAGACTTTGCCTTTTCTTAACATCCCACAACCATCACACCAACTTTTAAAAGTATTTTCGAGCACCATCGTTTCTGAAGCTCCTTGAAGTCTCACCGTCTCCAGTTCCAGAGACAGAACCTTCAGTTTCATAACGATGAACTGATTCTGTCTACGTCCGTCCTCCTCCGTCCTCCCACTCTTCTTCTACTCTTCTATTTCTGCCTCCCGCCGCCCACCTCGCCTCTTTCTTCTTCTTCTTCTGCGGTTTGCGTTCAGGGAAGCTGACGGACACGGCTTCGTCCTCCTCGTCCTCCCGCTCCGAGAGCCCCCAGCTGCTGAGCCCAAAAGAGGGCGTCACCGCCTACAGCCAGGCCTCCACCTACACCGCCAACCACCAGTACGCCGTGCACACGCCTGCGCACGCCTTCAGGTAACCCAGCAGCAGGAGCAACGTCAATCTGCCTTTGTAGAAGTATGAATGAAGAATGAAGAATGAACATATGCTGTTTTTTTACTGTCCGATGATAAAAACCAAGCTGTGTTTACGTCAAGTCAAACTCAATGAAGCTCATTTCTAGTGTGAGAGGTGCTCCACAAGGATCCCTTCTTAGCCCCCCTGTATTGTGCATTTATATAAATTATCTTGGTCAGTATTCACCTGCTGTGAACATCAGCTTGTATGCAGACGATGCTGTTATTTATCACACAGACTTACTTCCAGAGTGACTCAGAACCGGCCTTATCCCGACTGTCAATCCAGAGTCCTGCCTTTAGATGCAGGTGAAGCAGCAGACCGTGAAGCCGATGCAAACGTCCGCCTGTATGCAGACGATGTTGTCCTTTACTGCACAGATTCAGCTCGTTGTCAACGTGCTTCACACATTGTGTACTTGTTAAAACTCATCTTAAACGCTGATAAAAACAAATATTACTAAGAAAATAATCAAACTCTTAATTTATTCTTCATTAAAAGGCTTAAAGCAGCTTGTAAGAACGCTGAATGTAGAGTTCAGGTTTCTTTCTTCCTTTCAGTTGATTACGGCAAAGGCTGTGAATGCTCATAGAGTACATACATCTTAGTTTTTATTTTTCATAAATTTGCAAAAATCTCCAAAAAACCCTTTTTTTCCCAGTTGTCATAGTGACGTATTTTATGTCGAATTTTGAGTGAAAAAAAGAAGTGAATCCATTTTAGAATGAGGCTGTAACAGAACCAGGTGCTCCGTATGAAGTCAGGTCAACTTATTCCGTCCCTTCTGGCAAAAAAATAAATCTTTCAAACTAAACCCGTGAGCAGCTGAGCACTGGTCCGGTTACTACAGAACCAAACTCTTCCGTTACAGTGGCTAGAAATAGCGCCTCCAGCGGTTGGAGGAGCAGTTTGAGCATCTCTGCGACTTTCACCATCTCCATCTCTTCCAGTGACAGCGTCATTCAGCTGATCTGCGTTGCCAAGGGAACAGGCCTGGGGCTTGTCATCAAGGGAGGAGCCAACCGTGCCGAAGGACCAATGGTGTTCATTCAGGAAATAGTGCCTGGAGGAGACTGCCAGAAGGTCAGAGCTTCAGCAGGACCACCCGTGGACCAGTGGTCGGTCCATTGATTGGAAACGATTCAGTCGATGTAGAGCTGCATCGACTGTGTGGAACCGTTGAGTCCTGACTTTGGAACAGCGTGTTGATGTCAGCGTGATGACTAGCGCTCTCATTACGTTAAACACGTGCTTTAGATTTTCTCAGAATGACTCAAAATGTGTCTTAAAATGACTTAACACTGTCCAAAATCACTTAAGACTTGTCAAAATGACTCATAAGCTGCCAAAAATGACAGAAAATTACTAGAATATGTTTAATATTGAACAAAACTTGTCCTTAATGTCCTAAATGTGTCAAAAAATGACTCTTGACTGTATAAAATTATTTTTAAAATGACCAAAAGCAATTAAAAAGTGAATTTAAACTGTCGAAAATTATTCAAAAACTGTCCAAATTGATGTTAGCAGTGTGCAAAATGAGTCAAAACCAGTCCAAAATGTAAAAACAGAAAGACTAAAGATTTGTCCAAAATGGCTTAAAACTGTTGAAAATAACTCAAAACCTGTCCAAGATCATTTGAAAATGTCCAAAATAAATTAAAATACGTTTAACCTGTCACAAAACTTCTCCTTAATGACTTAACTGTGTGTAAAATGACTAAAAATTGTCCAATGTGACTCAGATAAAACAGCAGCCGGTGAAGCTGATGAGACGAACAGCTTTTTAACAACATTCAGGTCAGCAGGATGAAACCACTAAACTGCTCTCAACATGTGCAAAATGACTTTAGGTTTCCTCAGAATGTGTCCAAAAGTGACTAAAAATGTACAAAATGACTTAAGACTCGTCAAAATGACTGTAAACTTTTAAATAAATCACTCAAAGACTGTCCAACACGACAGAAAATCACTTCTGGAGTGAACCTTTATGACACAGTGCTGCTGAAAATGACTCAAAACGGTCTTTAATGATTTTCAAAATGGCCAAAATCACTTAAGACTCGTCAAAAGTAGTTTAAACTGTCAAAGTTTACTCAAAACCGTCCAAGATGACTAAAGATTTGTCCAGTGTGACCTAAAATGCATCGAAATGACTCAGAACTGTTGAAAAAGACTCAGTGCTGTCCAGAATAAATAAAGAATCGGTCTGAAATAAATCTAAAAAGTGTTAAAATGGTGTTTTCATTGTGTTCTCTTTGTGTTCTCTTTGTGTTCTCTTTGTGTTCCAGGACGGCAGGCTGCAGGTCGGCGACCAGCTGGTCTCCATCAACAAGGAGTCTCTGATCGGAGTGACGTACGAGGAGGCCAGAAGCATCCTGACCAGAACCAAACTCAGGTAAACTCACCTGGAACCAGCAGAGGAAGCAGATCTGGGTCGTACCGCCTGTTATTGATCCACTCATTGATATATTAGGATAAGAATCCAGTCAGAACAAACGATCAGATCGATGTGTTGACAGGTGACTGATGCAGGAAACTGTTGGTCTGACACGTATCACAGATTAAAGTCATTAGTGGTCAGAGGTGGACGATTAATATTTATAAATGTCTTCATGGGATCAAACATAAAATTCTGTATTTATGATATTTAGGATTAGCATGTTGTAGTTGTTAACATGTAGCTAACACTGTTAGCATGTCGCTAACAATGACAACAGTAGCAGTAGTTTTTATTTTATTTATAGTGATAATTTACTACACAGACTGTTTACATAGTTTACACTATATATATATATAGTAATACACAATATGTAGTATTTATACACTATATATAGTATTCACAACATATACATATACTGTAGTATATATATAGTTATAATTATTCTTGATTCTATACACATGTATAGTTTATATATATACAATAATAACTGGTAATAACAGCTTTATATTGTTATTACTATACATAGATAATACGTTATTATTCTTATTCCTTTCTGCTACAAAACAGTTATTCTTATTTACTCGTACCGCACAGTGACTAATGACAGCTGATGATGATCCATATATCCACAGACACATAGATGTACATATAGACACACACAGAGTAAATGGTAATAAGTGAATAACAACAGAACCTGTAGCTGTCTCTGTTGTTTATTGCATTCTGTGTTTGTCTTAACGGTTTAATTTCTCCTCAGACCCGACCCCACGGTGGAGATCGCCTTCATCAGGAGGAGGTCTTCCTCCAGCTCCAGCAGCGGACCACACAGTCCCATCTCCCTGCAGGGCTCCGGGGGAGGAGGAGGACCCCAGGCCAGAGCTCCAGGCCTGGGCACCACCGCCACCGGACCTCCACAGCCCACCGTGGTCACCAAGATCACCTCCAGCAGGAACCCAGCCAGCGAGACCCTGCCCACAGTCAACGTCACCCAGGTACGAGATACCATGAGATGAGATGAGATGAGATGAGACGAGACGAGACGAGACGAGATGAGATGAGATGAGATGAGATGAGATAGGGACGGTTTAAGATAAGTTAGGAAATGTTTAGGATAAGTTAAGCTGAGATGATACGAGTCATGGAAAGATTAAGACAAGGTAAGTTAAGATTAGACGAGATAAGGAAGGTTTAACATCAGATAAGTTAGGAAGAGGTTTAAGATAAGACAAGATGACACAAGATAAGATGACATGAGATAAGAAAGCTTTAAGATAAGAGTCGACGAGATAAGGAAGGTTTAAGTAAAGTTAAGATAAAGGCACAAGACAAGTCAAGACAGGCTAAAGATAAGACGAGATAATAAAAACTGATCAGATGTATACAGCGCCTTTCTTACTCAGGGAGTAAAACAAAGCGCATACATTATCAATTATTGATTGACACACATCCATCCCGGTGGTGGTAGCTCCGGTTGTAGCCACAGCTGCCCTGGGGGGGGGCAGACTGACAGAGGCCTGGCTGCCATCCTGCCCCCCGACCACCACCTCAACAATCCATCCATACGCATCCACACCAGGCAGGCGGTGACCATGACACAGGTTACAGGGCGGAATCAAACCGCCGACCTTCCTTTCTATCAGATGTTCCCTCTGACATCTGGAGCGTCTTCCTGAACATGTTCCTCAGGATCGTCTTGATGTTTCCTCTGTCAGAAACTGCATTCTACCGACTGTTTAACTCCGGTTTCTTCCTGTTTGTTGTGCGATTGTTTGCAGGTCCGAGTGTCTCCAGGTAGAACAGAACCGACTCATGTTTCTCCAGCAGCAGAGAGTCACAGCAGCGCCGAGAACAACACCGGTACGCCTTTAATCAGCTCGAATCAAGCAACCACACAGAAAGGCATGAAAGCAGACTTCACAAAGTGACAAAGATTGACTTTCCATTTGTCTGTATTTACCCAAAACTATCAAAAAAGACAAAAAGATGTCCTAAACGACTCTAAGCATGGAAAACGGTCTCAAAATGTGTCCAAAATTACTCAACACTCGTCTGAAATGAATCAAAAAGCCTCTGAAACATCTCAGAAATGGTCTGAAATGTCGTGTACTTTGTCCAAAACCACTCAGAAAATGTCACAAAAAGTTGTTCAGTTCTGAACAACTGAAGAAATCCAACTTTTAAGGATGTGAAACACAACAGCCCGAAAATGTCTCAAAGTTTGGAGCAAACCAACCGGAGACTTCCCAGAGTTACTCAGAAAAGGTCCAGATGATTTGAAACTTTACTGACGTGTCCAGAATTACTCAAAATATACTTTTTAATTCGTTTAAATGAACTGAAACCAAAATTACCTAAAAAAGTCTAAAAGCGACTAAATCTGTCCAGATGGAAACAACTGACGTAGTTCAGACGTTTATAAAAGATCAAAACTTTCCAAAACAGCTCGAAGCTCCTCAATCGCCCAAATTTCACTTCTGAGTTGCACAAAAGTTACTCAGACATCATCCAAAAAAAAAAAAAAAAGTTGTTCCAAACTTTTTAAAACAAGTTGAAATGTTCTAAAAGGACTTAAACCTTCTCTAAAGTGTCTAACTGGACTTAAACATTCTCCAAACATTCTCTAAAATGTTCTAAAATGACTCGACTTGTGATCTGAGGGGATTTGAACCAAACCTCAGAAATCCTTTTTGTTCTGGTACTGACCCGACTGTGTGGAGCCTCCCTCCGCCCCGACCTCCTCCCTCATCAACTATTATAATCACATAGTTTACGACTGCTGCTTCTGGGAGGCTGCAGCCTGCAGCTCCGCTCTCAGTGAGGTCTGGGAGGCGACAGATGGCTGCTGGTTGGCCGCCGCTCGGACCAGGAAGTGATGCAGGCGGGAGGTCCGGCCTCCGATTGGCCGGCGAGGTGTGAGGCGTCCTGAGGTTTTCCTCCATCTGTGAAATCGCTGCTGTTTGACGTCACGCTCGCCGACAGAGGATATTAATAGCAAACGGGACGGCCGGCGTTCACCACAACACACCGCTACACAAACAGACACACAACAGATTGTGTTCTGATGTGTGTGTCTGTCGTCGGGTCACTTTGTGTTGTGTAGCTTCTCCTGTTGGTCGGTTCATGTGTCTCTGCAGATGGAGCTGTGTGCTTTTGTTGTTTGTGTGTTATATTGTTGTGTTTTTATGGATAATCTGTGTCGTTGTTTTGTGTGTTTTATTGTCTCATTTCTCAGTTGTCGTCTTTGTGGTTTTGTGTCTCTGTTGTGATGCTTAGTGTGTCTGTAATGTCACTTTAAGGATCTGTGTCGTTGGGTTTTTGGACTCTGCACACTTTGTGTGTTTTCGTGGTTGTGTTGTGTTGTGTTGTGTGTCCTTGCGGTCACTTTGTGTAGTTTTTTGGCCTTTTTGTGTTTATTTTGTTTGTCTTTGAGGCAGCTGTGCGTCGCTGTTTGTTGTCACGCTGTGTCTCTTGTTGTCTGGACCTTCTGTGTAGTTGTGTTGTTCTGTAGTTGTGTAGTGTTGTTCTGTAGTTGTGTAGTGTAGTTGTGTTGTTGTGTAGTGTAGTTGTGTTGTTGTGTAGTTGTGTAGTGTAGTTGTGTTGTGTAGTTGTGTAGTTGTGAGTCAACATCTCCACGACTTTCCAACAACAAACTTATTTTTACTGGAAAAACTTAAATTTGGTCCAAACTGTTCCTGTCAGACAATAATCGATCAATAATCATTGTGTGTGTGCGTGTGTGTGTGTGTGTGTGTGTGTGTGTGTGTGTGTGTGTTCCAGATGGCAGCAGCGTTCAGCCCCCTCAGAGGAAACCGTCCCTTCGCCTGCGACTGGAGCGGCTGGAGCAGGTGGAGTCTAACGTTTGCTCCTATCTCATGTTGTCACGCTCGTCCAATCAGAGCCCGAGGCGGCCGCTGAGAGCAGTGCCGTGATTGGCTGCTGGTCGGCGTGCGTGCGTGTCAGCTCGGGGTATTGATCAGGAGTATTGATGGGCGTATTGATCTGTGCTCAGGCTCTGGATGCGATCGGACTGAAACCCGCCGAGGCTCAGCGGCAGGCGCTGCGGTCCAGACTACGAGCCGACCCGGCCGGAACCGTCGCCTTCACAGGTAGGACTCACCTGAGAACCACACCACCACACTTTAAGAGTACTTGTACTTGACTGGAGTACTTCCTGTTTACTTCCTGCTCGGCGTTCCTTCTCGTGAAGCCGAACACAGAACCAGAAGATCTGTGACGCTGGTTTAAAGGCCAGTCGAGGCCTTTTTGTTTCTTAGTTCGTGAACAAAGACTTTTTATTTTCTGTGGTTTTACTCGTTATTCGGGTTCATCCATAAAATATCCATTTAAAATCTTACCTGCAGTTTTTCTGCCCTCATTTTCAGCAGCACACGTCTGGTTTCAGTTTGTGAAAATGCACATTTTACTCGTTATTATCAGTAATTTAACAACAAAACTGTGAAACAGCAGCACACACGTTTGTTTCCTTAATTTAACAGCAGGTAGCTAAAATCTTAATATGATTTAAATTCATTAGGTGTAACTTTACTGCGTTGTTCTGTGACTGCTGAAGATCCTCCTGGTTGTTTCGGTGAAATCGAGTAATTTTATGGTCCAGTGTTGGAGAATCATGAATCACTGTTGATAGAAACACAGACTGCTGCTGAAGTCACCGTGTCCATGGAGGCTTCACCGGACTGAACCAAACAGAGAAACCGTCGTGAGATGGATGGAAAACAAAGAAGATGTTTTGAGTTTTAAAGAAGCTAAAAGGGTCCGTCGGTCTCCTGGGGATCCGGTCGGTTCTGGTTCTGCTGACGGTGGGTTGATGTTTCTGTTCCAGACTTTGAGAACCTGACCAGAGAACTGTTCAAGCCTCAGCTGGAGGAGCTGTCCGTCAGCCAGCCCGGCTCCAGGTTCACCTCCGACGAGCTGCTGGTGCTGCTGGAGTCACCGTCCAACCCGCTGGTAGAACCTCCTCATGTTCTGGTCCACGGTTTAGATCCACACATATTCTGGTCCAGGGTTTAGATCCTCAGATGTTCTGGTCCACGGTTTAGATCCACTGATGTTCTGGTCCAGGGCTTAGATCCTCACATGTTCTGGTCCAGGGTTTAGATCCTCAGATGTTCTGGTCCACGGTTTAGATCCACTGATGTTCTGGTCCAGGGTTTAGATCCTCAG